GAAACATGGCGGCAATGGCATAAGAGATTGGATAAGTGGTTTGGGGTCATGGCCAGCCTGGGTCACTGCTGGTTCTGCAACCCAGGCCACAATTCTACTACCGGTTTGGCCGAACCGGGAGCAACCCACCTCTGATCAGCCTCTACCTAGGATCGAACTCACAACCTCCTGATTATGAGGTTAAAGCTCCATCTCTACCACCTTGCTTGGAGAAAATTACAATAGCTTTGTTTGGGGACACGCTTCTTTTTTATTGTTGGGTACAAGACAAAAATCATACAATATATCTGCCAAGAACGTCTAACTAAATGCCAGTATAATGAGTTTATTCAATTAGCTTTTGCAATTGTGACTGCATAGCATGGCCTTTGTGCTTTTTCTTCTCTGCAACTTATTACCATGCAAATTAGGAGCTATAAAGAGTGTAGCTTTAGGGAAGCTCAGGGAGAAAAAAAACAATTTTCTTGAGAAATCTTTGTGCACCAGCTAATCAGTCTCATAGAAGAGTGGACCATCATGAATGTTAGACGTTGGCAATTAAAATTAGCATACTTCAAACTAGGAAACAGGCATAAGAAAATTCAGCATGAACTTTTAAGGCAAAGCAAATATTAGGAAAAATCCTCTTTAAACTCTTCACTACAATACATACTTCGCTTTTGGGTCTATTGTATAAAACAATGTGGAATATTATTATTATTATTTTTAAATGAAATAGAGACAAGAATCTGAATAGGAACATTTGATTTTCTCTTTCTCAGTAGACCTCTTACTTATGCATGTGTGTTTTGGATTAATAGTTTTAGTTGATTCACATTTGGCATTAATAGGTAGGGATTTGCAAATCTTTGAGGAAGAACTTCTCTTCAAGGAATGTCTAAGCAAAGCATGTTCTGAACTTGTTTTATGAAGCCCTCTTGCTTTTAAAAATGGAGAGAAATGACTTTGTTTTCCTTTGCTCTGCTGTGTAGCCCTTGACAAACTCTTCTACAGACTCACCCAAAGCTCTTAAAGTAGATCTGAGCAGTCTCACAGAGGCCTATTAAAACAACCGTTGCAACTCTAACCAAACTTGCAGTTTTCACATGGCTTGAATCTCATGCATGTTAATAAAAAAACAAAGCCATGGCATTGGTAACAGGCTTTTCTGGATTTGAAGGAAAGCTGCAAGGAAGTTTCTGCCATAGTTGCTGGCTCCTATGTGTGTTTTTCCTCTCATGCCAACCTGACTCTTCAACTCCCTCTTTTCCATTGATCCCTGATTATGAGGACAAAGAACATTCAAAAAGAATGACTGGTTTAGTCCCACCATTCCAGTACATTCACTTTCTAGTTTTTTCTTTCACCACAGAGTTATTGTCAGTGTTGCAGATAGCATCCAAAATTAAATCAGAGTCCAAGGCAAAGTACTGCTCAAAGTTCCAATTTATTAAGACAGCCATGCTGGTACATCTTGGAAAACCCGAATCTGAAGCTTCTTAGTTTTCTCCACCCAAGTTAAAGTTCATGATCCACACCCACAAGTCCATCACATGGACCAATCTTCCACTGCCATGCAGGCAGTTCCACCCATCCAGTTCCGGTCAGGTGCAGAGGTACCAAGACAAAGGATGACCTTGGCAATCTATTAAGAAATTTTATTTTGGCTACATAACATTCTACTCCATACTATCCCCACTCCTTATTCCCCACTATAGAAAATAACATAGTAGAATAGAAGTGTGGCAGCCCAAAAATCCAAAAGGAACATGGCTGCCAGTTATTTTCAGTACATTGGCACAGTGGCCCCCTGAAAAGGAAAGCAATCATTGGGTCAGATTATAGATGTTTCCTTGATTATAAACACTCAGCAATTTAGTCTAAGATAATCCACAACATCTTTGCCAGCACTACTCAACAACTACCTAGTTCTTTAGGTTGATAATAGAGAAAATTTATTCATCTACTTGCTGCACGAAACTCCTTCACAAAAGACAGAATCATTGTACATTGATTTTGTTTAGTCCTCATAGCTACGACTGACAGCCAGCAACAGCCAGGCCGTGCCTGATTGGCTAAGGGGCGGCATGGCTGAGCGTGGGCTGTCAGACGCGCGGCTATTGGCCTCCCTACTTGACAGCTCCGTATAAATAGCTGTCAAGCAGGGGGAGGTCCCTGTCTACCGCTAACTGGTCTACTGTATAGATCTGTTCTAATAAACTGCTCTTGACTTACCTCAGGAGCCTCCTGCCTCATTCCTTCAGGGAATACTTCACTGGCGACAAGCTGGTGGGATCTACAGGCCCTGAGCAACAGCCTAGATAGAGACAGATAATTCATTTTTTTTCTCTCCGCACTGCCAAGAGACCTAACCTCGTAAAACTATGGCCGCTATTCCCCCATTCCCTCCATTTGGAATCGCCGGCGACTCGTGGGCTGGGTTCCTGAAGCACTTTGAGTGCTTCCTTATAGCCAACAACCGGCTATGAATACTCGCAAGCACGAAAGTGCAGTTTTTTTCTGAGTCCCTGTGGTCCCAAAATGTTCGGGACAGCCCGTTCTTTTGTGGCTCCAAGACCTGTTTACGAGTTGAGTTGGGACGAGCTTATGGCTGGGCTTAAAAATCATTATGCCCCAACTCCCTCTAAAATAACGTGTTGCTACACCTTCCGCCAGTGCGTGCAGAAGGAAACTGAATCAGTCAGTCAGTTCCTTCAATCCCTCAGAATTGCTGCCATCCAATGTGAGTTTCCCGACCTGGATGGCAACTTGGTCGAGCAATTCGTTTGTGGCATGAGGGACATTCACCTCAAGCAGCGGCTGCTCGCTAAGGCGGATATCACCCTGCCTCAAGCCGTTGACAAGGCTAGGGTGGTGGAGCTGTCAGAGCAGTCGACCGTCGAGATGGCCAGATTCATGCCTCCGCCTCCGCTGCCTTCACCACGAGCCTGCCTGATAGACGAGCTAGTCCCGCTACCTGACCTGGATGACGAAGACCAGGTCAACTGCCTGAGAGCCGTTCCTTGGTGGCAGCCACAAGCGATGACCTGAGCCACTGCGGCAGCCGCCGCCTGCCTTGGTTGCGGAGGCAACTATGCCCGGGCGTCCTGCCCATTCAAAGCGTCTGTGTGCCGCCGCTGCAACAAGAAGGAGTACCTGGTGCAGGTCTCCTGGGCCACCCTGCCACTTCCTCCACAGGCCGAGTCATCCTTGCCATCCTACGGCCCACCTGCCCAGCCATGGAACCAGCCACCCCGTCAGCAGTGTCGCCACGATGACTGCTTCACCATCGACAAAGACCTTCCTGCCACCCCTGCAGAGTCAGTCAGCCAGGCAACGACCGGCTCGAAGAAGATTACAGTGTCTGTCCTCATTGAGGGGTCGCCGTGCCTGATGGAGGTGGACTCTGGGTCTTCCCGGTCCCTACTCTCTAGGGCCACCTTCAACCGCCTCTGCCCCGGCATTCCTAAGTTGCAGTTGTCGCCTCTGGACACTGTGTTAAGAGACTACCAGGGGACTCAAATTCCAACCCTGGGCTGCTGTGGGGTGCGGGTGGAGTATGGGGGAAAATGTTGCTGCCTCCCGGTCTTGGTAGTTCAGAAGCTGCTGCCAGCTCTCTTGGGCCTGGACTGGTTCACCCCATTGGGCCTATCCCTCTTTGGGGTGCACCTCACAGTGGACACACCTCCTGACATCGAGGGCATCCTGGCAGACTATGCCAATGTGTTTGATGGTGAGCTGGGGAGGTATAAGGGGACCCCTATCTCCTTCAACCTAGACACCCAGGTTGTCCCTATTCGGCTGAAGGCCCACAACTTGACAAGCTGTTGGCTCAGGGAGTCCTGGAACTCATCGACCACTCGCAATGGGAGACCCCAATAATAGTCCCTGTCAAGGCCGATGGGTCCATCAGGATCTGCGCCAACTATAAGTCGACCATCAACCTTGGTCTCCAGGCAAACCCCTATCCAGTCCCTGTGGTGCAGCACCTGCTCCATTCCTTGGGGCAGGGCTATATTTTCGCCAAACTTGATATGGCGCAGGCCTACCAGCAGCTTCCTGTGGATGACGATGCGGCGGCTGCCCCAACCATCGTCACCCACCAGGGGGCTTTCCGTTGTTGCCGCCTCCAATTCGGCGTATCCGTTGCCCCGGGGATTTTCCAGAGCCTCATGGAGCGGCTGCTCCATGGGCTCCCTGGCGTGGTACCGTACTTTGATGACGTCCTGATCGCTGCAAACAGCCGCTCAGACCTCATCAAAGTATTAAGGAAAGTGCTAGACCGTTTCAGGGGCGCGGGACTCAAATTAAAACGCAGCAAATGTTTCTTTGCTGTGCCCCAAGTGGACTTCCTGGGTTTCACAATTGATGCCCAGGGAATCCACCCTACCCCTTCTAAATTGGCAGCCATCAGGAATGCTCCTGCTCCTACATTGAAGGCGCAGCTACAATTGTTCCTGGGGCTTTTAAATTTCTACGCGCCTTTCATTCCCCACAAGGCATCACTAGCCGAGCCGCTACATCGGTTGCTCGACCGATCCGCGCCTTGGCAATGGGGCAGCCGCAAAGCGCATGCGTTCGTGGCTGTCAAATCCCTGCTGACGTCAGA